TCAAAGAACTTCAAAAAGTCAGGCCTAAAGGTTTCCTAGTAAAGTTCGAAAGGAGCTATTGGGAAGCCATTTGTGCCGGGAGCTTTGCCCTTTCCCAGGTTCACATCTGCTGCCAAGATCTTTGATTCAGAGAAAGGTCGTTCCAACCAGTGTTCGCAAAACAGGCCCGGTTAGAACCGGAAACAGCTGGTTAGAATCGAAACCGGCCGATTAGATTGCTACCGGTGGAGTGGCGTGTCCGGTTAGGGCCGGTTTTACGACACACCTCATAAGACAACAGTCTCCAAAAAAATCGGCACTAAAACCGACCAGTTTGAGATCAAACCGACGGTTTTTAATCGGCCGATTTTTCCTAACTGGTCCGGTTTACCGTTTTAACGCCTGATATAACGCCGTTTTCAACGCATCAAATAACGGTCGTTATTTGATACATGCCCGTTATTTTTCACATAACAAGATTTTGCCGCTTTTTTTTTTGTATATTTTTTGTTTTTTCGGTCAACTATTGATGTTATACACCGGAAAGTTTCTATGAATCGTCGATTATTGAATCAAAATTCCAAAAACAAAGAGTTCTTGGCGGATTGAAATGGGGTTTTTTGAAAATTAGAAATTTCCGCCATTCTATCAAATGCAGCTTCAATACCTCATAGATTTTCATCCAAATGGAGGGCTTTGATTCATTGTTGAAGTATTCAATGTTCACATATTTCAAATTTTCCAAAACGATGAAGATTTGAGGTTTTTTTTGGGCCCGAAGTACTGCTGCTCGAAGAACTGTTTTTTATCCAAACAAATTGATTTCTGATCGATCAATTGATCGATTTTTATTGAATAGATCGCTGAAGTTTGATCATAAAGGCCTCATGTATCTAATAAACTAATTATTTTGATTTACTATTGATTAAATGTTTTTATATCGATTTTTTTTTGCTGCATTTTTTTCCTGAAATTTTTTTGAATCAAGATCTCAATAGTGAATGAATCTTTATGAAATTTAAGGCATTTGAATCTTAATTAAAGTATCTATCATATCCCCATGTCAATTTGTTCAAAAAATGAAAGATTTGGGGTTGATTTTGACTCTAAAGTTTATGTGTTCTTGGGCTCAATTTTAGGGTTCTTAAAAAAAAATTGTTTTTTAATAAAATTACGTTTTGTTTTATAAAAACATGTTATTTGTGATGAATATGAGAAAAAAATAATATATTCTTTTTTTTTTTAATTTCATATATTTTTGGTGAGCTTTTTGGATCGTTTTTTATGTTATTTATGTTTTTTACAAAAATGTCTTTTTTTTTATGAATATTTGAAAAAAATATTTCCTTCTTTTTAATGTTATATATTTTTGGTGAGCTTGTTGGATTGGTTTTAATGTTATATATTTTTTTATAAAATTTTTTTTTTTGTGATGAATATGAGAAAAAAATTTATTTCTTTTTAAGATTATATTTGGTGCATGTTATTGTTGTCTTAGTTCTCAACTTCTTGTTTAGTTGTGACATATTATTCTAATTTGTTTTTTATTTGTTACAAGCTATCTATCATTTTTTGCAAGTTCATGCTCCTTAAATCTGTTTATTAGCCTCTATGAAGAAAAGAGGTAGAAACTAAAAAGTGTTTTACTCATCTCTCATGTTTCCACATGCCGAAATGGATAAAATTTAACCTTTTTTTTTTATTATTATTAATATGCATCTTAATTCTACATTTTAAAGTTGGCATCTAATATAAATTTTTTTTTTTTCATGTTAAAACCTAACTCAAAAGGTTACTGAGTAAATGTGGTTTGGCCATTTTATAATCGATTTGGCCATTTGAAAATCGACTTGGCCATATTTTTTAAAAGATGCGATTTGGCCATTTGAAGCACACCTTGGATTTGATAACCAAGTTACTGAGTAAATGAGGTGCTCTCTCTTACTACCTTGACTCACAACCCTTCGAAAAACTGGGAACATCATGCTACAAAAAAATATGCTCTGAAATCCCTTATTAAAGGGTTTTTCAACATTAAAACAACCTTTTTCAACATCAACATTGAAAAAATATAGAAGCATATATTGTTGCATCATCCATTGTTAGTTGGACTTTGTAACTTCATCAATTGAATTTATGTGAAATTATAAATTGTCTCGCATATCTCCATAATATTCAAATATTAAATTATATAAAAAGTTCTTTCAATTTTTTTTATATGACAAATGTATGTAATATGATAGTGTATACTTAATCTAAGTTTTTCTATTTTTTTTGGGGGGTTTTGACCCATTTTTTTAAAAAAAAATCTACTTCACTGGTTAGTCTGGTTAACTGCGCCGGTTAGTCCGGTTCCAGTTCGAACCACTCCCAGACTCATGACCGGTTAACCTTTCCCGTTCGATTTTGCAAACACTGGTTCCAACCACTAGACCCAAAGGGTAGGGACAATGTAAAACTGTAAATCACCCATCCTAGGTCTGGGATCCGAAGGGACTGAGTAGAGGTTTTGGAAATAAGAAAGGGTGGCAGCTTCGATTTCGGATGGTTGGTCCAAAATCCTTATACCATCCTTAATGGTGGATATGGAGTTATCTTGACATCGGCAGTTTGCGATTCTGTGGAAGAATCCAGTATTGTTATCCCCATGGTGTAACCATTTTACCCTGGAACTTTGAAACCAGTAAATCTCCTCTTTCTTGAGGGTGGAGAAATACTCCAACTTGTGAAGAGATCTAATCTAAGGTTAGCTTCTGAGGTCGAAAGGGGGCGTGATTCCTCCGAAAGATCTAAAGCTTGGATGGAAGCAAGAAGGGTGGACTTGAGATGAGAGAAATTGCCTGGGATGGTTCTACTCCAAGCTTTGAGGGATGCCTTAAGGAGCTAGATTTTAGTTTGCAAGATATATCCTGCCCTACCCGAAACCAAAGGGACAAGGAGTCCCACCACAAGGGGATAAGAGAAGACAGAGAGGCCTCTTCAAGCCAAGAGAGTTCAAAACGAAATGGTCTAGGACCTCTCGGGACTGCATGGGTATCAAGATAATGGGGCAGTGGTCGGAAGTAGGTTTGAGCTAAGCCAAAGTGTGGGAACCAGGAAAGTCATCATCCCATTTTGAAGAAAAGGAGGAACCTATCGAGTTTAGAAAGGGTAGGATGAGAGGAATTTTGAGTTGAATTTTGCGGGATTCAAAATCTTCGTCTATAAGTTTTTGTGTCTCTCGTCCACTAGCCTCTCTTTCAACGGAGACTCTACTACTCTCTCTATGGCCATGGCAGGAGGCCTGTGAGCTATGGATGGAAGAAGGCTTGTCTAGCTCCGCTTCTCATGAGCCATAGAAGACAAATTAATTCAGAGCAAGGGCCTATGAGCCAAAGAATTCACCATTAAAGAAACTACTTAGAGCTTGAACGGATTTGGTCGGATTCAAATCTTCATGTAGTGCTCTCATTCTGCTTTCTCTATCTAAGTTTGAGGAACTCTTTCTCTCTCGCTCTAGCAATCGAGGACACAACTTCTTTCTCTAACATGTAGAACACCTCCACTTCTTTCTCTCTTAAGATTTTGGAACAGGGGGACCCATGAGGTTATCGAGATAGGGGGAATATACTGGGTTTTGAGGACTGCAAGGGAATAAATCTAGGCATTGGAGGAGAAATGATATCGGAGATCATTACTTCTCTCTCTAATTTTTTTTTAAAAATGGCTGGCTGCCAAAGGGTAGTTGACGAGAAGGAGCTCTGGTTTTTTTCTTTACCTTGACTACAAGAAATGCTTTTTCCTTCTCTAGTTTTGGCAAAGATGGAAACGCTTCTAAGGTAATGTTCCAGAGAGGCTATGTCTCTCTCTAGCTTACTGAGAGGGTGGAATGCTAAATCTAATGGACTTTGGAGAACGTTGTTTTTCTTATTCAAATGCAGCAGGCTTCAAATGGGGGTCATCCAATCTCTCTAACAGTCAAAAGATTGATAGGCTCTGAAAAGGGTTTTCGGAGAAGCTACTCAATTCTCTCATGCCTCTTGTTCCCTTATCGACAAAACCCATTTCATCTTCTCATACCATCGATTTGGATGGATTCAAATCTAGGGTTTTTCACCATATAAACAAAAACAACACTGGAATGCTCGAACACGAGAAATGGAGAATTGGGTTATCACAAACTGCTCGATATTTTATTTCAATGGAAAGTAGATGAAGAATTGGTGCTTAGGTTTTTCAAATGATCTAAAAAGAAAAGTGGGTAAAATGATAGAAGACGAAAAATTGCTAGATGAGATTGTAGAGAAGCGTCTAGTTCCTGGTTTTGTAACATATAATTCTTTTAAGAGGTGCATACTCATGGACTTCAATGATCACAAAAATATAGGTAGAAAATCAAACGTGCACAGAAAAACATATATCAAGATATTATAAAATCCAAATATATAAAATGCAAGGCAATGGTATTCAAATTTCTAAAAATTTGGATATATAATTCCTGTTTTGTCAAACATATCCTTATGCAATACCATTGTGAGAGTTCAAGTTATGAAGATCATCATCATCCAAGCCTCATCACAACTATTTGGGGTTGGCTGCTCAAGTTATGAAGATATTAAACCAACATTACCATAATATAATGCTCCAAGTAGACAAAACCGAATATGCTTGTCTGGTAACATGTAACAACATGTCAACAGAATGTCACCAATTTTCTTCACTGCATGAAACAACTTGGACCCTCACAATAGTAAAAGTTAATTTAAAAATTAAAAACTGCAGCAGTTTCTCAAAATGAAAATCGTAGGTCTCCTTCAATGTATATAGTAGTGAATAAAAGCAATTGCAAATACAACATAAACTTTTGCTTTACACACCACACATGAGAATATTGTAGAAATAATGCAGCAATAGAAAGTATAAAGGAACAACTTTAGCAGGAAATTCTTGGACAATCTTCAAAAATAAAAGGCATGATATTGAAAGTTAAACAAAAAAAACAGTTAAAAATCAGCAAGGAGACATAGGACAGAATAACTTACCATCATATCTCTCCACTTGCACAGCAGCCGCATGATTTGCTGAAATTGATAGCACGGCAAGAACTTTATCAACACGCTCTGCAGTTAAAAGTTAACACGTATCCAAGAAACCTACCCAAAGGAAACATAGAAGGGCATACCATAGTCTCTTCACATTTCTGCAGAATGCCTCCTTTCTCAAAGCTCATATAGCGTGCTAATATAGATGCTGCGGTAGAATCTCCCGGGAAAGCTTCTGTGTCTTTCTCATAAAGTTGTAAACAGAGCATATTTGAACGTAGACTTACCTCATGAAACAAATTGGATCCTGGGAACCAGATGAATGTTCTGAGAGATGCAATCTTCAAATATTCAATATTTTTCTTATTGATATTTGAGAAATCTAGTTTTTCTAATATAATTGAGCAGAATAAATAGGAATGATAATTCATAAAGATTAGGGTAAAAACAGTATAACATTAGCTAAAAAGAAGCAGATTATACATGTTTGTGTAAAGAACCAATGGTTTCAACTTGTATACTGTTGCATTATAGGCATACATAATATATGCATGGATGATATAGGTACATTGGGATGTCATGCAGATCAAACACAAGGAATCTCACAACGTAATCTGAAAATAAGAATTTTCAACTATGGATGAGAAAAATCAATCATAAGTTTTGTGGACGAACTCCACTCTGAATATTGGTTACTCCAATCTTCATATTCGTAAGTCTTCATTAACAGAGTTACGAACGTCTTGTTTTTCGATGTATGAGTAAATAGAGGTTGAAAGTACAGATGTGAAAGTATAGATGTATTGAAATTCAGGCTCAGAACACAAGTCAGAGAACATTGATACAAGCCATTTCCTCAAATCACAAACTATGTCCTTGAATGCTGTCCGCATTAAAGCCAATCGAGACTAACTAAAGCGTGAATCCAATCATAGACAATGGCAAGAACTAAATACATCCTATTCAAGTAATAATTAATCTAATTGTGCTCTGAGCAACCATGAAGAACCAGGTTGTTAAAAATATATGAAGCACTATGACTACACAATAATATGTTATGGGCTTAAATAAGAACACACCAATTTCCTGTAACAGAAAACATCAACCAAGTAATTTTCACAGCCTAGTATCTCATAGACTCTCTAAACTTTGCTTCACAGTAAAGTAGTCGTCAGTTGGGGGTGCAGGAGGGCACAGCATCCAATCATATACAGTCTTATGATAAATAACCCCATCAACATCGTAATGTTATATGGAAAAAGAGCAAGTCAAAAACGTACATAGCTAACAGTGCCCATGATATATAGTGAAGAACTCAGTCCTTAACTATAGTGAAGAATTTCAATACATGACTGTAGAATGAAGATCAATGACTTGTGCATATATTTCCAGACAAGATGTACAACATAAGATATGGCAAAGAGTTAAAAATTGCAATCCAACAAAAATACTGCAATAATAAGAAGAAAGGCCCTATGCCCCTGGCAGCTTGAGCAAGTATTTGACCACATATTTGAACAATGCAGGCCCACTCATATCTCCTTTCAGCATACTTAGCAAGAGACATGCTTCCCAAAGACAAAGCTACCTCAGGAAGTGCAGGGACAGTTTAGCAACTTTTTGAGCAACGGACCTGCCTTTTTCACTCTCTTTTTGTATTTCCTTATTTTTTGGTTCATTTCAGGCTCCTCACCCTTAATTTTAGATATATAGAGTGCCCGACTCATGGGATGCCAGTTTTTGCTTTACTATACATGCTTTCTCTCAATACATAAAAGCAAACCTTCTTTCAAAATAATAAAAAAGTAAATATCATCCATGAGTGCGAAAACAAAGGGACAATATTAGAGTGCTAACATGTTTGCATTCAAGCATGTACAACATACCCATGGAATACTTGGTCCATGAACAACGCTCCTTTCTTCATAAATAGTAGAGTGGCTCAAGATACTTCATATCAAAACTATGGTCAATGCTTATAAATGAATGTATTAAAGTAGAAAAGGACTGACAATAAATCAAAATAACTCCCCTAGCAAGAATGATAACAGTATCAATATTGGAGAGCTGAACAAACATAAAAGGATCGGCTCAATTGCATCAAGAACTCCTTGTGTGAAGTGAAAAAGATGACAACTGAACAGCACTTAATAAAATAGATCGCCTTACTTAGCTTGCTTAAAGAATTGGGGTGAAGGGAATCCTCTAAGCGCAAAGATTGCTGGATAAAAACTCCTTGGGCTATGCCATCAGAAAATGGAATTTACTAAACAAAGTTGTCAAATAGGCCAATGTCAGAAAATGGTAGGTTAAGTACAAAGTTGAAAAAGAACCAAGTCCATTCTGCTGGTTGTCTCTCATGGTGACTAAGAAAACCTTGTAACTTAATAGTTAACAAGACCAAACCGAACCACCCAATCCGATTGGTAGGACGGCTAACTGGCACTTTGGCCGGTCCAATCTAAAGCAAAAATATTGGTTTGGTCAAAAATAGGTCAAAATAAGTGTTTGACACGTTTGGGCTGGTGAGATCATTCAGTTTTCCATGGTTCGACTGAATAAACAAAGTTGAGAAACTTTTTTCTAATATACTTTGTATTTTTAAACTATTGTTCTTATTTTTCTTATATTTTTTACAATCTGATCCCGATTGTTCCAATGTGCAGCAGGTATAAAATTCGGTCCACTATGCCATAGATCTTTAGCTTAAAGTTTGTTTGATCAAGTCATTTTTTTTATTTTTTTTTGAGAATGTATGAAAAGTCAGAATTAGACTAAACTCAGTGGTCATTTGGTGGCGTAACTTGTTTAACTCTTTAGTTTGAATTTTGAAAAATTGACAAATATAAAAAAACTCAAAACAACCATTTTGGAGTTTTTTTTTGTTTTTATCTTCTTCTCATAGTTATCATCAGTGTTTGGAAAAAAGGATCGGCCCACAGAATCTGCCATCCGCTAGACCGACCTAAATCAGATTAGTTAGCATGGGATCAATGTATTAAAATTGGCGAGCCAGCTCGAAACTGGCTTGTATTGGCCTAGTCCTGAAACCCCCTTTTCTAGTTTCCCACTGGTTCTCACCTATTTTCCCATGTTCTTTGGTTTTTCTAATGAAAAAAAAAAAAGGGAGAACCAGTAAGCGGGCTCAGGAAAACCGGAGGGTGCCCTATTCAACCCACCGATGTGGTTCTTAAAACAATGTGCAACTTTCAATTCTCCCATCAAATCTGTATTTGATCTAATACATGATAGACCAACCTACCACCAACAACATTCATATTAGCGGGACCAACATTCAAGAGTGTCCACCATAATAAATGTCAATCCCTTCCTACTTAGTTGTGGTCCACAGAGGAAATAAGATGATGACTGCCTAAGTAGAGGCCTTAAAAGATGCATGGAAATCAATGGAAAGATGTAATTGGATCCCAAATGACCAGGAGACTCAAAAGGAACAATTGTATGGCGACCTTGAAAGTTACACTGGTAGGTCACAGCATCCGCCTCTGATCGAATCAGCACTGAATATCCAAAAGAAGTGGAGGACAATGGACAAACTAAGGACAGAGACCAAATTCATGAAAATTCATGAATGTTAGCAAGAGTGAAAGAAAGTAAACTATAAATTAAGGGGGCACCATGTCCACATCCAACATTATAGACAGCAGAACCATGGCCGCAATGGCTACAAAATAGGCCAGAAACATGAAAGTGACTCCAGACTGGAAGCCACAAGAATGCTGGGATGATAAGTCTTACACGGGCCAGATAAAGAGCACTTATACAGATTGTTGAAGACATATCGGTAGGTTCATAGAACTAAAGCTCAGCTAAAAAGTGCATACCGGCAGTGTTTTACAGATTGCCGTGTCTACACATGCCCAAGTCAATTCGCCCTGACAATCTAGTGAGTTTCACTGAGCCTCATAGGACTCAGCTGAGTCTCACCAAGTCTCCTAGAGTTCTGTTAAAACATGAATAGACTTGGCTGCCTATAAGACACCTCTTATCATTCCAGAAAGACTCAGCTCAGGACTAGAATATTAATAGTGGGTTAAGCACAAGCCAAGGTGGCAAATGGCTCCTCGAAGCACCAAGACCAAAAGGATATAAAAAACTTTGTCCTCATTAGAAAGGAGCAGTTGGATACCTACCAATGAAGTACAAATCCAATTGCAACATTGAAAATAATCCAAAACAACTAAGTACCATGCTTGGGAGGACTTCAAGTTCAGGAGGAGAACAGATATTTTTACAAATGGTAGTGCACAGACGCGGGCACAGAGAGAGAGAGAGAGAGAGAGAGAGAGAGAGAGACGAGAGAGAGAGAGAGAGAGAGAGAGAGAGAGAGAGAGAGAGAGAGAGAGAGAGAGAGAGAGAGAGAGAGAGAGAGAGAGAGAGAGAGAGAGAGAGAGAGAGTTTTCAAAAGGTACAAGAAAAAAGTTAAAAAGGCTTTTCTAGGGAGATATGCACAGTTAGAAAGGTTTCCATGAGAGTTTTGAAAAGGTACAAGAAAAAAAGTAAAAAGACTTTTCTAGGGGAGATATGCACAGTTAGAAAGGTTTCCATTCTTTTAGAGAGGAGACAGCAAAGAGGAACAATATGGTGGGGGGGAGAGAATGATAGAGAGGTAGAGAAAGAGAGTGAGAAGACTTCGAGTACCAAAATAAAAGAGAGATATGGCCGAGAAAGGGAGAGGTCAGAGCTTGACCACAAATGTTGAGAGAGGGAGGGGGCGGGGGGATTTATCCCAAAAAAAGAACCTAAGGAATGAACTTCCGCTTGAGAATTCCAACTCACTTACCACTCTAATAACACCAAATGTTGTGAACAATGCCCACAAAAGCATGAGGGGGAGTCTATGTTTCACAAATATATATAGAAATGAGGATAAAATGAACAAACCCAAATAAAACACATCTCATGTCATAAGAAACTTAAGTGTATTTCATGCTAAGCTTCACCATAAAAAGGCAAACTTCAAAAGTTATTGTGGGACATGATAAAACTGAAAATAGAATATACCGATTTGGTGATTCTCAAGCTCAATGGCAAGACATTTTGCTATATACAGTAGATAGTGTGCATCTCCACGAGCATATTCAACCATTTCTTCAGATAAAGGTCGTTGTCTCCAATCTGCAAGCTATTACATCAAAAGGTAAGATGACATAACAAAGGTTTTTTTCGTAACACAATAAATAGTTTAGAATTTTAATAGCAGATGCAATCAAGCAACTAAATGTATCTTTGAATACCATGGTGCATAGATTTAGTGGTCAGTTTAAAAACTAAAACACTTCATTAAATTAGAAATTTTAAATATACTTGCAAAGAAAAGCAAATAACTCATAATTTTTCAAGTCATACTCAACTCATAGACTCCAAAATCAGTGATCGAGAGAATAACATTCTATGTCTCTTAACAAACAACCATCGTTGCATGCATACAACTTTCCTTGTTCGACATATTTTGAAATTAGAACTGCCACAAAAGATTTCCAAAAATAGAACTTCTTGTTGCCCTCCATTGTTCCACATATGACCATGATATTTTTAATAACAATTTTAATAAATGTTTGCAATACATCTTCTATCGAAGCTTGTGATTCAGAACTCTCCTTTGTGAAGATAGCTTATTGTAATGATTGGGGATTTTACAAGTTTCCACATTAAACTGATGCCATCAACAACTTTAAAGTTTATGTAGAGATAGCAAAGCTACACATGGCATACAATGGTTTCAAAAATGAATAGATTACCATTAATATTTTATACAACCCTGTCTAGATAAAATTGCTTGTACTGGTGTATTGAACTATAAATTCTTTCCAATGTCCCATGAAATGTAATGTCTATTGATAGAATAATAGCGTTTTTTGCCCCAAATATTTTGTTAAACGATGTGTGGATTTAATACAACAAAATGACAAAAACAGTCATCATTTAAACTATTGTATAACATGAGTGGGTATGGATAGCCACTGTTTTAATATACACGGGTTTTTAAATTTGTGGATGGAAGCAAATTTAATGCATAGATCTACAAGATCTGGGTGATTAAAGGCAATTTATTTAGAACCTTGATTTGTTGAATGTAAAGGAGAAACAACTATGTGATGCTCCCAATGAACTTGGAGCAAAAACGGGCATAAAGTGTAACATGTGAAATCTTAGTAGATGATGGCGATATGACCATGCTGAGTACTATTGTAGAATATTACAATCTTTCATATGATTATTCAAAGTATTAAGGAGGCATTTAAGTGGTGTAATGAATGCATGCAATTTGATCCTGTCTCTGGATGAGAATAGTGATAGTAGTATAAGGGTTAATTTGTTATCTGCCTCCTTTCATTTGTAATATACTCCATCCAAGTGAAGGCATTTTTGTCCATATGTATCTTTGTGATTAATCTACAATGAGAATGACCCGAAGAGGTTTGTGACTCTCACTATTCTCTGGTTTTAACATTGTCTCAAAGGAGGAAACATAATAAAACGAAACACACTAACCCTAAGAGTGCAAACCCTGAGATTTAAGGATATGCTAGGTGGGATTACACAAGGTCTCAGAATTAATGACATGTACATGTTACGGTGTAGACCTTGGACAGTGAGGTGGAACTGGTTGACACAGTCCTAATTTTCATCTAGAACAAGTTTCATCTATTCACCAACACCCCTAAAATCAGGCCATTACTTTCTTCCATATGCCCCATTTCGTAGCCAATATGCATGTCTTCCACATTCTTCTTCCTACAGCTTGACTTGGAATAAACCATCAATTGATTTTATGTACACCTGCAGCAATCCAAGCAACTCCAAGATATACAACCAAGTCAGCCATGCCACCCTACAATTTAAAAGTACATGGTACATGGATTTGAGCTCCTACCAGCACATAATACACATGTTGGGAGTCTTTTAGGATAGCATAGCACTAGGCTTACAAGCCAGACACGTAAACCTTGGGCAGAGTAGAGTATCTCCAGACAACCCTGAAAGAGGATAGCTGTATCTCATCCCGCAAAGGGGCCCTGTAGAATGATCAAGTCAAGAACAAGCCCTGACTATCAATAGACCAGATTACGTTAGTAGAGATGCTTGCTCCTAGCAGGAGAAATATATACCCAAATAATTTGGTGTTCACGATATACATCATGGCTATTTCTAGTTTTCTCCTTAGGAGGCTCTAACAGGTAAACTAATTGAGGATTAGCTCGTTATTAAGACCTTGAGAATCTTGACATCCACCTAGAACAGGAGCTTTTGAGCAGCTCGTGGCAAAGGATAAAATCTTGGCAACCATGTTAAAAAATCAGAATCTAGCCTTGGCTTCGTGATCTAGGGCCAATGCTTGTAGAGTCAGATCCATACCATACGATTGGTTTGGACCCATTGAGGCCAGTTGTGTCCAATGGTGGCTAAGGATTATCAACCAGTGGATGTATAAGCCACTGTGTGAAAAGTGGGGACAAAGGCCTAAACCTCAACATTTTCATTCTTTACTGCACTTCCAAATTGTATTGGTATTGGTCGGAATCCTGGATTTGGGTTGGCATTTGCATGTGTTGGAGAGAGACCCTTTGCCACCTATATTGGTACCAGATATTGGTAGGCAAAAAGTTATTGCCAGATTGTTGTTGTTGTAGAGAGAGAAAGTGTAGAACGCCTCATTTAGGAGCAGATCTGCGACGAGAAGATCTGCGACGAGAAGATCTGCGAGGAGCAGATCTGTGAGGAGCACATTGAGAACCAAGCCATTTTCTTTGAGGAGAAGATCTGCGAGGAGCAGACCTGTTTTTGATCTGCGAGGAGCAGACCTGTTTTTGATCTGCGAGGAGCAGATCTGTTTTTGATCTGCGAGGAGCACTTTGAGGAGCAGATCTGCGAAGAGATGGAGGGGAAAGCTCCTGAACCTCGGGCAGGTGAAGCGGCCCACTTTGAGGAAGCTCGTAGTTCTGCCCCTTGCGATGATGTTGTTCAAGATTCTGGCCTTGAAAGTCCTTGTTTGGGTCGTGGCTCGAGATCTAATGCTTTTGATCTTGATGGGGTCATCAGGAGTCCTGTAAGGGAGGCCTCCTCCTTTGAAGGGTGTTTCTAACAAAGGCAAGGAGGTGGCTGTTACTCCTCCTTTGGCAAAATTTTTGGGTAGTAAGATTGTCCTAGGATCTACCTCGGGTCCTCATGATGAAGGTGTTGTATGGGAGGAGTTTCCACCCTTGGTTCCTAAGAACAAGATTGATTGTTTACCTAACAGTTGTTGGGGCTCGGGTAGGTCCTCAGACCTATTATTTGGGGCCAAAGGTGTCCAAAATGGAGTGTCTTACTTTGAGGAGATGGATACTTCACCTACTGAAATTATTAATGGTAAAAAATTTGTCAAAATTGACAAGAAGGTGATGGATTCATGTCGGAGCCGGTGGGAAAACTGTCTATTGGGATACTTCTTGGGCCGCCGACCTGATTGGAATCATATGAAAGTGATGTTGAAGAAGATGTGGAGGCTTGAGCGGGATGTTGAAGTATTCTCCGCTGACGGGGGCTTCTTGATTTTTCGTTTCCATTCTAGTAAGGAGATGGAGGTGGCCCGTACGGGGGGACCTTGGTTTATCAACAAAAAATGTTTGGTGCTTCAAGAATGGGATCCTTCAGTTCAACCCTCTAGGCATACTCGCCATACTGTGCCAGTTTGGATCAAATTGCCAAGGTTACCATTAGTGTATTGGGAACCAGAAATTCTTTTCTGTATTGCCTCTAGTGTTGGAAAACTCATCTTCATGGACAAACCGAAAAAACTAAGATCAAGGGTTGAGCCAAGGGTGTGTGTTGCATTGGATCTAGATACCATTTTGTTCGACTGAAGTTTGGATGGACTTTTTTGGGAAGGAGTATAGGCAAGAGCTAGTCTATAAGTTCATACCCTCGATCTGTTCCAAGTGTCGGAGGGTGGGCCACAATCTCGAATTATGTCGAGCAGGCTTAAGTGCAAAGGTTTCCATCCCAGTGCAACAATTGTTCCCAATGGTGATACTTCTGTTAAGTTACCCTCAAGGGAAGAAGGTTGGAAGGTAGTCAAAGGGAGACAACAGTTAGTTTACAAAAGGGGAAGGAAAGCACTGATGTTGTTCCAACCCTTCCCATTTTGTCAGAGAAGAATAATGATGTTGTTTCTCATGTTAACAACAAAGTGGATCCGAAGGATATCATTTCTAATGCTTTTGCAATCCTAGGCAATGTCCATGAGGATAACGAGGGGTCTCTTATTGAGCAGGCAGTTAGCTCTTCTGAGCAAAATATACTCCACACTTGTATTCCGATGGGTAATTTTGATATGCAACAGGAGTATGAGGTGACAACTATGACTCATGTTGATAATATTAGTGTGTCTGGAGAGGTCGAGGTTCTGTCGCCAGTGATTGGGACGGCACCTGTTGAGGATGGCGACTCCTCGCTATTGTCTCTAGACAACCAAGCTGATGATAAACATGTTGCCCATTCTAAGAAGATATGTGAGCACAGTCTCAAGCAGGTTAACGTCACTACCGTCGGAGAAAGATGGGGAGGAGTATGATGTTGAGGGCCGTTTGGATCACTTGCTTGGTCATGGTAACGGTGTGATTGGGCCACAAGGGGACACGCTAGAGGATGCATGGGGAATATTGTTGGTGATCACAATCCTAAGCACATAGCCGATAAGGTGGATGGTTCTAGTAAACAAGTGCAAGATCATGCGAATATTGAGAAGCTTATTCATGCTCGAACTAGGTCACAATTAAAAGTCTCTTTGGCAGCTGCTGGTGACAAGAGGGGCTATTCTTCATCAGCTACAGGTGATACAAAAGGATTAACTTCAGCTTCCATTGGTGACAAGATGGGGTTACCCGTAAGGCTCAGCGTGCTCTCACAGCTCCTAAAGCTAAGGTTTCACTTATCGAATGTCCAAACCTTTGATTTTATTTATGTCTATTGCTGCTTGGAATGTTAGGGGCCTTCAGGGCTGGGGTAGAATATCGGATATTGGGGTTTTAAAAGCGCAACATAATCTTGGTCTTATTTTCTTATTGGAAACTCAACTTCCTGTGGAGCTGAGCCGTAGTTGGTAAAAAAAGTTGGGATTCTATAATAACTTTATTGCTAATG